GGTCCCTGTGCTTTGCTAAGCTTGTTCTAATTAGGTGCTTTAGACCACTGAGCCATCTCCCCGGCCCCCACCTATAGTATTTAGATGCCAATAAAATATCCACCTCTGACAGGACTAAACAAAAAAAAGGGATACAAAGGAAAGATCAGTTTGTATTTATACAGTTGTTTTGTTTGTTTTTGGTCTTTTTTGATTTTACCGTATTTTTTTTGTTGAACTGTTTTTTAGGAGAGGTTTATTTTTTGTTTTTGGTGCCAAGGACCGAACCCAGGGCTTCCAGCTTGCCAGGCAAGCATTCTACCGCTGAGCCAAATCCCCAGCCCCACAGTTTGTATTTATATATACAAAATAGTTAAGATAGATATACAGCTACTTTTGCTTAATTCAGTAAGAAAGAGGTGTACTAATAGTGTTTGGACAGGATATTCTATCTGCATCTTGTACTATGGATAGCCACTAAGAAGATAACAGTGTACAATGTATTGATTATTGAAACTGTTCTATTAATCAGCTTTGAAAATGTCTCATTCATATTTGTTTTTCAATAAAATTTAAAAAAGGGCCACTCTGCCCTCGGTTAAGTGTGTGCACACATCTTGGAATCGTGTGTCTTCTTGTCTTTTCACCATCCTCCTGGGTTTGTTTGAGGTCTTGGGCCCTAAAAGGAAATCCATGACCTACCCAATCTTCTTGAGCACAAATGTGGCCCAGTTGTTGCTTTACATCTGTGGTCCTGGGAAAGGGTCTTCTCACTGCCCAGGCAGCTTCCTGTAGTATTTGAGGGGATGAGTGCTTAGCAGAGAGCAAAAGGTAGCTAGGCTTTGATTTAATATCTCTATTGGGGAGTCCTAAAACCCTACTTAGAAAATGGATTATCTGCTTGATGGATCAAGCAGCAGCACCTATATCCGTAAATCTTTAATGTGGAGTGAGGGATTTCCTTTGTGTCATATTGTAATCAGTACTCGGTATGAATTAGTGTGCGGTAGAGCCTTTGCTCACTGCAAAGTACATTACAGATACAAGAGGTGAGAATGCCCGAGTGTGCTGTAGCTGGGATGATGGTCTGTGTGCGAATCTTTATGTCCTTTTTTTGGTGGTGGTGTTTTTGAGACAGGGTCTCACTACTTCAGGCTGTGCACTTCAGGCTGGCCTTGAGCTTACTTTGTAGCCCAGGCTGGTCTTGATCTTGCAACAATTTTCCTGCTTCAGCCTCCTGAGTGCTGGGATTACAGGTATGCGCCACAGTGCCCGGCTCTTTATGTGTATGTTTGATAGTATGATGGAATCCTGGAACCACTGAACTCTATCTGCAGCACTTTTATTTCTTTTTGGCAGAACCGGAGATTGAACTCAGGCCCTTGCGCTTGCCAGGCAAGTGCTTATTCTACTAAGCCATCTCCCCAGCCCCAGCACTTTTATTTCTAAATCTTGAGACAGAGTCTTGCTTAGTTGCTCAGAATGGCTTCAGACTTACTGATCCTCCTGCTACAGCCTCCCGAGTAGCTGGAATTACAGGCATGCATGACGACTGCCTGCTTGGAATTGAATCTTTAACTGATTTTAGGAAAACCTTTAATCTTTTTGGGCTTACTTTTCTTATATGTATAATAGTTTCTTTTACCTGTTTGATTTGGAAACCTTAGTTTTGTTTATTTAGTTTATTTGATTAGTCAGTTGGTTTCAGACAGGGTCTCTTTACATAGTTCAGACTGCCCTTGAACTCACAAAGTACCCCAGCCTGGCCTTCAGCTCAGGGCAGTCTTTGTGCTTCAGCCTTCCAGGTGCTAGGATTACAGTATGTGCCATGCCTGGCTGAACACCTTAATTTTAAACTGATGTGGAGGATGTATGAAATTTTTTTTTTTAAATTTTATTTATGTGTGTGTGTGTGTGTGTGTGTGTGTGTGTGTGTGGCCAGCTCAGCCCACCAGGGGGCGGGGCTGGCTGGCATGTGGTGCTGGGGGACTGAACCGTGGTCCCTGTGCTTTGCTAAGCTTGTTCTAAGTAGGTGCTTTAGACCACTGAGCCATCTCACCAGTCCCGGATGTATGAAATTTTAAAAAGCACATTTACCTATTTTTGTAGATCATGGAAGGAAAGCGGCTACTGTGTATGTTATTGGTCCTTGGAACAGCTGCTGTCCAGGCTCATGATGGGCATGATGAAGATATGATTGACATTGAGGATGACCTTGATGATGTCATTGAAGAGGTAGAAGACTCAAAATCAAAACCAGATACCAACACACCTCCTTCATCTCCAAAGGTTTGATTTTAAAATTTTATTTATTTATTGGTGAATATAGGGCTTTCACACTGAGGTGTATCGCTATCTTTTTTTTTTTTTTTTAATTTTTTTTTTATTTTTCAACAAATAATACACTGCATATATTCTTCTTAGTGGTTAGCTATCTTTTTTTAAAAAAGCATTTTTTTGAGAATTGCCTGGACTGGGCTGAAGCTTGCAGTCCTCCTGATACACATGTGCCTACCACACCCAGCTCACCTTTTACCTCTTGAAATTGAAAAGATGCAGGATTACTGGTATAGCTCATCAACAAAGTGTTTGCCTGGCATGCACAAGGCTCGGGGTTCAGTCCTCAACATGGAATGATATGAAACTTTTAAACATTATTAAAATTATTATTATTATTTTGAGGCAATCTCACAGTAGTTTAGGCTGGGCGTAGTCTCACCATGTAACCTAGGCGGCCTTCAGACTTAAGACGACCCTCGTGCCTCAGCCTCCTGAGGGCTGGGATGGCAGGCATGCACCCCCATACCCAGTACTTGGATACTTCTCAATGGAAAATGAAGTTTGCTGAAATACTTAGTGATCTTTCAGGCAGCCTTTTGCATTCAAGGGACTACTATGAAAGTTTTGTGACAATTAGAGCCAAAAAAATTAGTTCTGAGGAATGTTGCTAAAAACACCTTTAACTTGCTTTTACGTTTAACACAGGTTACCTACAAAGCTCCAGTTCCAACAGGAGAGGTTTATTTTGCTGATTCCTTTGATAGAGGATCTCTGTCAGGGTATGTTTTTTTCTTTTCTTTTCCTTTTTTTTTTTAACTTTCTGCAAAGCTTTCTTCTGGAGGGGCTTAGTCCTTGGCAGCTGCCTTCCTCATGGCGGCCAGCACGTTGCTCAGCTCCTCACACTTCCTCTTGGGGAGGATGTGTGTCCCCACCCTTTCCTTGATGAACTTGAGGGCGGGGCGTATCCTTGGAGACCTTGAACAGCTCCATGACACACTGCTCGTAGGTGGCGAAGCCACACACCTCCCGGATCATGTCCGGCATGGACTTGGTGTGTTTGGTGAGGCGTCCGCGATGGTGGCAGTTTGCTCACATTCTTGGTCACCTTGTGGCCCTTCTTGAGGCCCATAGCCATGGGATAGCCAAGGGCCATGGCTACTCTTCTTCGATGGTTGCTGTGGCAGAAGGCAGGGTACATGTTTTCCTAGAGAGAAAAATCTTGAGGCAAACATTATGGGACTAAGATGGAACAGTGGAGCCCTTTCATTTAAAGATAGCATTTTAGGGGCTGGAGAGATGGCTCAGTGGTCTAAAGCACCTACTTGAAACAAGCTTGGCAAAGCACAGGGACCGCGGTTCGATCCCCAGCACCACATGCCAGCCAGACCCGCCCCCTGGTGGGCTGAGCTGGCCACACACACACACACAATAAATAAATGTAATAAATAAAAATAAATATTTAAAAAAAAAAAATAAAATAAAGATAGCATTTTATCTGGTGAAATGTGTGGCTTTTATTTCTGCAGTATTTATGTTCATTTAGGAAAACACAGTAGTCCTTTGCGACATGTGACTCGTTTCTGTGTCCTTCTCCTTCAGCCTAGATTTTGCTATTTTTTTTAAAAAATTTGTTTAAAAATTTATTTATTTGTGTGTGTGTGTGTGTGTGTGGCCAGCTCAGCCCACCAGGGGGCGGGCCTGGATGGCATGTGGTGCTGGGGGATTGAACCGCGGTCTCTGTGCTTTGCTAAGCTTGTTCTAAGTAGGTGCTTTAGACCACTGAGCCATCTCACCAGCCCCATAGATTTTGCTATTTTGAAAAATTTTTTCTCTTTAGTCCTTAAAAAAAAGTAGAATTACCTCCTGATGTTGGTATTTTTTTCTTATAGGTTTGTGAGTGGAATACAGTGAGCCACTGCTGCTTGTGACAGATTTGAACATTGAATGTAGAGTGGCAGACTAGACTAAGAAGCCAGGCTAGATCCTGCACTTTCCTGAGCATTTATACTGTTTCTTTTCACAGTTGAGCTGGCATTTGAATTTTAATTTTGGGGTTTGTCTTGGTCACAGGTGGATTCTATCCAAAGCCAAGAAAGAGGACACTGACGATGAGATTGCCAAGTATGACGGTGAGCAGCCCATGCCCATCTGCCCTCTTGTCTGCCACGAGTAGGGGCACTTGTCTCTGCCGTGTCACTAGAACTGCTTTAGCTGTGTGTGGTGCACCCTCCTGTAACCTCAGCCCTGGGGAGGCTGAGATCAGAGCATCACAGCTGAGCCCAGTCTGGGTAGTTTAGCAAGACTATCGAAAAGATGAAAGGGTCACCAGTGGTGCACACCTGAAATCCCCTCACTTGGGAGACTGAGGTGTGACTGCTACAAGTTCCAAGCTGGCCTGGATTATGTAGTGAGGTCAGAGCCAGCCTGAGTTACGTAGCAAGACCATTTCTCAAAAATCAAAACAGAAAAAGAAAAGGGCTGGGGATGTAGCTTAATGTGAAGTCCTGGGTTTGGTACTGGAGGGAACATTTAAAAGGAGGCCCAGGGCCAACTAGATAGTTCAGTGGACTAAAGTGCCTGTTTAGACAGAGTGCAGCAATCCCCAGCATGCCATGCTGGCCCTGCCCCTGGGGTGTGCTGAGATTGAGCCTGGGTGTGGTGGCATGAGCCTATAATCCCAGCACTTGGGAGGCTGAAGACAGGAGAATCATTGAGTCTGATCTACGTAGTGGGACCTTGAACACCCTGTAGACCTTGTACCAAAAAAAAAAAAAAAAGTCTGGGTTTAAGACTCCTTTGGGAAGGAAGGTGATTATATAGAGATCAACCTATTCAGTCACCTTGTGGTACTTCATATTCAAAATGCAGGGTCTTGAGGGCTGGCAAATAGCTCAGTGGATGAAAGTGCCTGCAAGCAGGTGCAGGGCCCAGGGATTCAATCCCAGGGCCTGCTGTGCCAGCCCTGCCCCCAGGGTATGTTGAGATGGCCATTGAGACTGGGCGAGGTTGCATGCACCTGTAATCCCAGCTTTTGGGAGGCTGTAAACAGAAGAAACACTACAAGTCCGGTCTCATAGTGAGACCCTGAATACCCTGTAGACCCTTCCTTAAAATACAGAAAGAAAAAATGCAGGGTCTTGAACCGGACATGTGGTACACACTTGTAATCCCAGTATTTGGGAGAGTAGGCTGGGCCCAGCCTCAACTGAATAGCAAGACCCTGTTTTTAAAAAAAGAAAGGGAAGGTCTTATGAGACCTTCTGTGTAAGGAGATAAAGAATGTACTGTATTTAAAGAAATACTATATCCTAGTTTTCAACTATATGTGTGCTTAATATGTTAAAAATTCCATCAGGATGGCAGAATTGGAGCTTAGTGTGTTACCATTTAGAAGATCTTCAGAGATACAGGGAAGGGATAGCGCCTTTCTGTGTTGTCTTGTAGGACAGTGGGAGGTAGATGAAATGAAGGAAACAAAGCTTCCAGGAGACAAAGGACTTGTGTTGATGTCTCGGGCCAAGCATCACGCCATCTCCGCTAAATTGAACAAGCCCTTCGGATTTGATACTAAACCTCTTATTGTTCAGTAAGTGAATGCTTATTTGAGAAAAGGTATCTCGAGCTAATCTTACAAAATCTCATTTTATTGAAAGAAGCAAATCATTACTTGAAAATTTTCAGATTATATAAGTTATAGTAGGGTTATTCAAGTGAATGCAAGCATCGCAAGGGTTTTTTTGGGCTAGCAAGATAGCTCACCGGACTAAAGCGCCTGCTTAAGCAAGCGCAGGGACCTCGGTTCAAACCCCAGCAGCACCACATGCTGCACCAGCCCCACTCCCTGGATGCACTGAGCCTGCAAGGCAACCAGATCTGGTTGTGGTGAAGTACACCTGTAATCCCAGCACTGGAGAGGCTGAAAACAGGAGGATCATCATGAGTCCAAGCGGTGTAGGGAGACCCTACAACAACCAAATATATTTTTTAAAAAAAAAGTTTTTCTGCTTTAGGGCTGGGGAGATAGCTTAGTGGCATAAGCACCTGCCTGTCAAGTTCAAGATTCTGAGTTTGATCCCCAGTACCAAAAAAAAAAAAGTTTTTACTTGCTCATTGGAATATTTTGAAACTGGTCATTTATCCTCCTGGTAGTGAATGAAAATCTGGGTTTTGCAAAAAATAATTCAATTAATATCTTTTGTGGACTCAGCTATCTAAAAGTAATAGTGTAATCATTCTTAAGATATGACCTCTGAGGGTTGGGGAGACGGCTCTGTAGAAAAGTGCTGGCCTGGCAAGCGCAGGGTCCCGAGTTCAGTCCCGGTACTGAAAAAAACAGATATAACCTGTCATAAAGCATGGCTGGGATGGGGAAACACTAGATTTGTTCTTCTAGAAGGCCACTGGATTTTCTGATTTTCTTTCTGAAATTAGGTATGAGGTTAATTTCCAAAATGGAATAGAGTGTGGCGGTGCCTATGTGAAGCTGCTTTCTGAGACACCAGAACTCAACTTGGTAGGTGCTGTGGACTTTTTTCTTTTCTTCTTTTTTCTTTCTTTTTTTTCCCAGACGTCTCCTACGCAGTTCAGGCTGGCCTTGGGCTCGCTCTGGGGCCCGGTTGGTCTGAGCGTGCCACAGTCCTCCTGCCTCAGCCTCTCGAGTGCTGGGATTGCAGGTGTGCACCACCACGCCTGGCACTTTTGTCTTCTTAATGTGGCTGGCCACTAATTTTTTTAAAGTAATGTTGGGCGGGGGGGATTGTAAGACCTATTTAAAAAAAAGGCCAATTCCCCTCCTGCTGAAAAACTTTTGGAATGTTAGCAATACTGCTTCTGATGCTAATTTTTATGTGAAAAATGACTTTCAAAGCTATTTTCAAATGTTTTTAACTTGTCCTTGATTTCTGTTCTTATGTAAGTTTTGGTTTTAGCTAGCTTATTTCTTTTCTTTTTCTTTCTTTCTTTTTTTTTTTTTTTTTTAAATGAAAGGCAGTAGCTAAGTTGAGTCCAGTGGTGCTCATTTGTAACCCCTGGACTCTGGGCGGCTGAAGCACGAGGGACCTCATGTTTGAGGCCAGCCTGGGCAACTTAGTGACTGAGCAAGAATGTCTCAGAATATAAAAGGACTGGGAATGTGGCTCAGTGCAAAGACCCTGGGTTTGATCCATAGTACTAGGAAGATAAAACTAAAGGAGTTAATTATGTGTGTGTATTCTTAAGCATATAAATGTATTAATTTTTTTATGATTACTGTTTTTTTTTACAGTGGTATCTAAAACTTTGACATAATTAGTTTTTCCTTTTAACTGTCATTAAAATTTTATAAGAGGAAGAGGTACTTTTAAAAGGCTGCTTTGGGCTAGGGAGATAGCTCAGTGGAATAAATGCTTGGCTGGCAAGCACAAGGGCCTGGGTTCTGTCCCTGGTATCGCATAAATAAATAAATAAATAAATAAATAAATAGCTGCTTTTGAGTACTTTTAACTAGAGCTACTTTTAAAAGTAATTCATCTTTGTTTTTGAAGGATCAGTTTCACGACAAGACCCCCTATACGATTATGTTTGGTCCAGATAAATGTGGAGAGGACTATAAGTTACACTTCATCTTTCGCCATAAAAACCCCAGGACGGGTGTATATGAAGAAAAGCATGCCAAGAGGCCGGATGCAGACCTAAAGACGTATTTTACTGATAAGAAGACCCATCTTTACACGTTAAGTAAGAAAAACCTGTTGTTGGGAGGAGGGTTAAAACACTATGAATTTATCATTTAATGTACAGATTCTTTTTTTTTTTTTTTTTTGGAACCGGGGATTGAACTCAGGCCCTTGCGCTTGCTAGGGAAGTGCTTACTCCACTGAGCCATCTCCCCGGCCCCATAAAGATTATTATATATCTTGACAGCACTAATATCTGCAAACAAGATGCAAAAAATGCCATGTGATGTGGTACATACATATAATCCTAGCTACACGGGAATCTAACAGGATCAGGAGTTAGAGACTGGCCTGAGGCTGAGGCAGGAGGATCACTTGAGTTTGAGGCCAGGCAGGGCTATGGAGTTAAAGGCCAGTCTGAAGTATACAGCAAGGCCTTGTCTAACAAACAAACAAACAAACAAAAACAAGTGGAAACTGGCCTGGGAAATTTAGTGAAAACCTATCTCAAAGCAAAGTTGTAAAAATGGGCAATAGCAGGCCACTTGGTGGGATGCATATAGAATGCACTGCTTAGCATGCTTGTGGCACTAGGTTCAAGCCCTGGCACTGCAAAATGAGCCTCACCTTCCCTGTCTCCGTGTGGGGTGAGCTTGTCGGCTCGAAAAGTACCCATTGAGTATGTTGGCTGACGACGGAGGTGCAGACAGACAGTAAGCTTTGGGAGGGATGGCACACCCATGCGGGAGCACTTGGCTGGACTGCAGGGAGCGCTGGTCCAGCCTGACACTGTGAGAACTCGGTCCCGTGAACAGCACTGCCACCAGGCCCCTGATTTGCTGTCTCCATCAGGTCTCTTGCTGCGAGAATGCAAAGCAGTGTGGTGTGCATAGAGGAATATGTATAGATTCCAGTTGTCTGAGCTGAGCCGTGGGGATGCCCCAACACCTAGTTTTGTTTCTTTTTGTTTGTTTTGTGGTACCAGAGATCGAACTCAGGCCCTTGTGCTTGCCAGGCAAGCACTTACTCCACTGAGCTATCTCCCCGGGCCCTCCCCATCTCTTTTTTTTTTTTTTATTTATTTATGTGTGTGTGTGTGTGTGTGTGTGTGTGTGTGGCCAGCTCAGCCCACCAGGGGGCGGGGCTGGCTGGCATGTGGTGCTGGGGGATTGAACCACGGTCCCTGTGCTTTGCTAAGCTTGTTCTAAGTAGGTGCTTTAGACCACTGAGCCATCTCACCAGCCCCGCTTTTGTTTTTTTAAAAGGCAAGTTTTTCTGTGGCTTTGTGATCATATATGGACTGGTGTTCTTCTAAGAATATAATAGCCAGAGGCTGGTGAGATGGCTCAGTGGTCTAAAGCACCTACTTAGAACAAACTTAACAAAGCACAGGGACCGCGGTTCAATCCTCCAGCACCACATGCCAGCCAGCCCCGCCCCCTGGTGGGCTGAGCTGGCCACACACACACACACAAATAAATAAATTAATTAAAAAAAGAATATAATAGCCTTTTTTCTTAATTATCAAAGCAATACATTTTATTTTATTTATTTATTTTTTTGGTGGAACTGCGAATTGAACTCAGGCCCTTGCACTTGCCAGGCAAGCACTTACTCTACTGAGCCATTTCCCCGGTCCCCCAGCAATACATTTTAAAGATACAGAAATCCAGAAGATAGAAATAAGCAGGAAGATAGATTTAAAATTTTCTGAAATAGCAACGTATGTTTCTTCCTAGGTGTATAAACAAAGACATGTAGCATTGTATAAAATGTTAAACATGTTGAACTTGCTTTCTCTGTGTGAAGGGTGGGAATGGTGCTGAGTTTGAAACTGTGGTCACTCTGCAATGGAGCTACATCTCGAGCCCTTTTTATTTTTTTTATTTTTTTGGCAGAACTGGGAATTGAACTCAGGCCCTTGAGCGCTTATTCTACTGAGCCATCTCCCCAGTACCCCCTTTTTATTTTTTATATTGGGATATGCTCATGCTGAGTTGATGGTCTGACCTGCAGCTTGCAATTCTTCTTCCTCCTAAGTAGCTGGGATGCTAGGCCTGCATCATATAGCTGGATTTAACTCAATTTTTTTTTTCCCCCCCTGTGGTACTGGGGATTGAACTCAGGACCTTGCACTTGCCAGGCAAGCACTTATTCTACTGAGCTATCTCCCTAGCCCCTTAACTCAATTCTTTTTTGCTTTTGTTTTTTGAGATAGGATCTCCCTGAAAGGGTCACTGTGTACCTCAGGCTGACCTCAAACTCATGGAGATCCTCCTGCCTTACCTTCCTAAGTGCTGGCTTTAACTTGCTTTCTTTCTTCTCTTTTTTTTTTTTTTTTCATTTAGTACAGGGTCTCACTACACAGATCGGACTTGTAGTGATCCTCCTGTTTTCAGCCTCCCAAGTGCTGGCATTATAGGCATGTGCCACCACACCCATTCCCAGTCACTGTCTCAGCACACCTTGGGGTTGGGACCTGGGACCAGCGTGGCATGCCGGGGATTGAGCCCTGGTTCTTCCACTATCTAAGCAGGTGCTTAATATGCTGAGCTGTCTGGCCAGCCCCTAAGTTGTTTTCTTAACTATACAAGTAGAGTGTGAGGATCTTTCTCAAACAGTATCTGTTTTATATTGTTAATACCTAGTACTGGGGAGACTGAGGCAGGAGGATTGAAAGTTCAAGGTCGGCCTGGGCTGACCTTGGGGAACTGTATGGTGAGTCCAGCTAATCTGGTCTATGCCATACATACAGTGAGACCCTGTATCAAAAAACAAAGGAACAGAAAAATATTGCCAGGCAAGGGCTTATCCTACTGAGCTATCTACGCGGCCCCTATGAACAGAAAAATATTGCTGACTGGTTGTGTACCAATTCATGCCAGATCAGTAATTACATTAGTTTATATAGGTTCTTGATGTGTTTTGGTGCCCATAAATGAGTTCTTTTGGTGTTAAAATTTTTATGTCATGTGTTATAAAATGCTTAGAAACCTGAGGAGATGTCATTTAGACTTTGCAGAGTTTAGCTGAGCTGAGCATTGTGGTTCACGCTTTTGCAGACTTTCCTTGTTTGTTTATTTAATGTATTTGGTACAGAGTCTCACTGTGCAGTTTGGACTCTAGTGATCCTCCTATTTTCAGGTCCCCAGCCCTGGGATTGCAGGTGTGCGCCACCATGCCTGGTTGCTTGGGGTTGGGGCCAGCACCAGGTGCCGGTGCTGAATGTGGTGCCAAGGATCTAAACCTAGTCCGTATGCCTGCCTAAGCAGGTGCTTAGTCCACTGCAGTATCTTGAGGGCCCAGACCTTCCTCATTTAATGACTGAGATATGCTTCCACAACCAGGATGTTAGATGCGTTGTTGCTAAAGAAAGAATTTTGTGTAGTATGTCTATTATAATATTGAGAACAAAGAAATGGTCAAAGAAAATTCCAGCTTGATGACTTTGCTTTTGTTTGCATAACTCTTCCATGCAGTCCTGTAACATGGCAGAACATGAAGCTATAGTATTGTATTACAGACAACAGCAAAAATTACAGTACTGTATAAAGGTATAGTGTACAAAAAAGATCCTGAGTGTCTTAGTTACCTTGTACTGGTTGCTGGAACAAAATACCTAACACCCCAAATTAAGGAAGGAAAGGTTTATTTTATTTAGCTCAGTTTATGGAGATTTTCAGTTCATAGTCCGTGGGCTCTAAGACAAATGACAGCTCATGGCGGCAGAAAACAATAAAGAGCAGAGGAGGAGCAGCAGCTGCAGCGTCCATCAAGCTTCTTTCTTCCTTGACTGGGACTTCTCCAAGGAAGCGGGGCAGGGTGGCCAGGCAGCCTTCCTCATCTCCTGTATATACACTTTTTTGTGCTAAGTCACTGTGGGGCGGCCCATGGCCCTAGGGTGGAACCAGTTGTGCCCCAGGTTGGCTCTGCCTGCCTGCAGGCATGGGGGGCATGCCCAGAACTGCTGGAGCAGATTCAGCTAAGTTGACACAATGTACCAACTACCACACTGAGGCTCTATAAACAGGGTGTGTAGGAAGAGGCAAGTTATGAGTCCCAACAGCTATTAGCCATGTGGGTTGTTAAATGAGGAGTATCTACAATCCCACTTTTGGTGGGGCGTGGGGATTGCAAGTTGAGACCAGTGTGGGCTGAGTAGTGAGACCCTCATTTGAAAGCTACCCTACAAAGAAAAGAGCCCCGTAGCTAGGACTGTTGGCTGTGTTCTGACCTCATGTCTTTCCTTTTGCTTTTTTATTTTGTTGTGACTAGAGGTTGGGAATGAGTCATTAATTAAATGTTTTAATTACACTTATCTTTTTTGCAGTCTTGAATCCAGATAATAGCTTTGAAATATTAGTTGACCAATCTGTTGTGAACAGCGGGAATTTGCTAAATGACATGACACCTCCTGTAAATCCTTCTCGAGAAATTGAAGACCCAGACGACCGGAAGCCTGAAGACTGGGATGAACGGCCTAAAATCCCAGATCCAGATGCTGTCAAGCCGGGTGACTGGTGAGTCCTGGTGGCCCACCAGGGAGGGCAGTGGGGCATTTGTGTCTCCACATTGCTTGGACAAATGAATGTTAGGGCCTGTGATCTGATAATTTAAACATTTTAGAGTGTAGTCAGTTTTTGTAGCTGAAAGGGGGCCACAGTGATGATCTAGATTGGCTCACTTTTATAAACCACAGAGGACTGACATTGACAGTGAGAGAGCCCTTGTGGCAGTCACTTAGCCTAGCCATATGATGTTTTGTAGTTGTTGTTTGGGAGAGGTTGAACCTACAGTCTTGGGTACACTGAGCATTGCTTTGTTGCTGAGTTAGCCCTTGGCCTCACTGGTGCTTTTGATCCACTTTTTTTTTTGTACCGGGAATCAAACTCAGAACCTTGCACATGCCAGGCAGGCACTTATGCTACTGAGCTATCTCCCTGTCCCTGCATCCACTTTTAAAGCTAAAGTCCTGGGGGCTGGTGAGATGGCTCAGTGGTCTAAAGCACCTACTTAGAACAAACTTAGCAAAGCAAAGGGACCGCGGTTCAATCCCCCAGCACCACATGCCAGCCGGCCCTGCCCCCTGGTGGGCTGAGCTGGCCCCACACACACACATACACACACACACACACACAAATAAATAAATAAAAAAAAAATTAAAAAAAAAATAAAGCTAAAGTCCTTAAATGTTAAAATTTTAATTTGAAAAACCATCTTTTTCCTCTTTAAATATTACAAGATTTCTGTTTTGTTAAATTTTAGTTAATTGCTTGCCTGGCAAGTACAAAGCCCTGAGTTCAATCCCCGGTTCAGCAAAAAATAAAAAAATACATATTTTTATTGATTTTATTGCTCTTTGAAAGTTACCTTATATGTTCCTGAACTTTTATGATGCGCCAGTATAAGTGCTGCTTAGAAGTACATATGATGAACATTAGATTTGGACTTAGCCTTGTTCATTGCTGTACTCCCGCACTGGCTGTTTCATTTTGGGAACTGAGATGGCGTGAGAGCTGTCATGGTGGCATACACCTGTAATCCCAGCACTGGGGAGGCTGGGTCAGGAAGGTCACTGCTAGCTCCAGCTGCTAGGCCAGCTGGTTATGCAGTGAGAATGTGTCCAGAAACAAAAGCTAAACAGGTGAATTCTCAACACACTTTTGGGGTTTTCACAGTTGAAACTAACCTGGTTGTAAAACAAGTGATCTGGGCTGGGCATCTTGGTTAGCGGTAGAGCACAGGGTAATCTCTAGTACCGAAAAACAAACTGACCGAGGATAGAAAGCTGTCTGTGATTAGCAACTGAAGTGGCACTTTCTTTCTTTCTTTTTTTAAATTTGTGTGTGTGTGTGTGTGTGTGTGTGTGTGGCCAGCTCAGCCCACCAGGGGGTGGGACTGGCTGGCATGTGGTGCTGGGGGATTGAACCGCAGTCCCTGTACTTTGCTAAGCTTGTTCTAAGTAGGTGCTTTAGACCACTGAGCCATAAAAGTGGCACTTTCTTAGAGCAGTTACACAGAACTTTGAAATCTCTCTCCTCTGTGTGTGTGTGTGTGTGTGTGTGTGTGTGTGTGTGTGTGCGTGTGTGTGTCTGTCTCACACACACACACACACACATTTATTTATTTATTTTTTTAATGTATTTGGTACAGTGTCTCACTGTGAAGCTCGGACTCATAGTGATCCTCCTGATTACAGCCTCCCCAGTGCTGAGAATACAGGCATATGCCACCACATCCAGGTTCGGTGGCTAACTCAGTATGCCCAGGCGATCAAACCCCAGGCCTGCATTTGCCTAAGCAGGCGCTTAGTTTGCTGGGCCATCCCACTGGCCCACACATTTATTTTAATGTTCCGATTTTACTTAGCAAGGTTTTTATGCAGAAAGTTAGTATGCTGCTACCATCTCTGGTGTTGTAACTATAGCCACGGTGGCTGACTCGCCACTTACCCACCACCTTGCCATGGCGGGAGTCTTGCACAGAAGCACAAAAACCTGACTCACTGTGACTTTGTTGAGGCATAGTCCCTAAACTTGGTGGGGGGTTACCCAGAGGGACTAAACGGAAGAACGTGGGGTGTCATGGCAGCTGTTCTGCTGGCTTGTGGGGTGTCCTGGGTCTGCATCATAGCTACGGTATTTGTTTTGTTTTTCTAAACAGCTTCCAAATCCAGCCAGTGAACTGTTCAACATTTGTAGGTTTTTGGGAGGCCTTAGTCTTTTTTT